GGGGGGGTTTTGGAAAATAGAGGGGTGGGTGTGGGGGGGGGGGGGGGGGGGTGAGGCTAAGCAAGTGTGACAATTTGTGACGGGTGGAGAAGTAGTGAGGCAGGCCAACGCCCTACATTTGTTGTAGCGACACAGGATTGGATGGACACAGAGGGTTATTGATGTGACGTCAGTAATGTTTAAAAAAATATTTTTTCACCAATAAAATCCCTCAAGATTTAAGTTATGATGTTTACATTTTTTTTCTCAGAGAAACGCCTTCTTTCACATTTTGTTGTTGTGTGTGTGTTTTAAAAAAAACAAAAAAACTTCCAAATGGAAAACCAATTTCAATGTTTCAATATTTTATAATTGTCATTAAATGACGTTATTGGAAAAAAATACTATTATTTTAACAGGCATTTTAACTTGGTCCGTTTCCCTTTGACTCACCACCGCCATGCAACATAGAGGATACCAATTTCTACCCTGCACTCTCTCCACAACGACTACGGTGTGTCCCCTTCACCCTTTGAACGTCTCACTGTTACGTTCTTATTCGTGTACAATCACATTCAGAGATGCACATTAGTTTATCCCATTACACTATTTAAGTACTAGATAAGGGTTTTGTAAGTAGGCCTACAAGATACGGGACATTTAAGTACTAAAATAATACGCGATATTGCTGTACTTGATACGCGTCCCTTTTTATTTTTGGGTGGGGGGGCCCTTTAGTTGGGGCATTATTGACTGGGGCATTTTTGTAGGAGGCCGATGTGACGGGGCTGATTTTTCGGGGCCCAAAGAAGTTTGTTCAATTGGGACTTTGTTTGAATATATGAATTACAGAGGAAATGAGAACAAGGGAAATAACACAAAAATCTTTAGCAGGTTGTTGTAAAAGAATGGGTTGGCACCCTTTGATTAGTGAAATTTAACACAAAGAATTTTTTTTTGGTACTATTTAAGGGAGCTTAGTATTATAGTATATGAATATTAATACCAATGTACGTACAGTTTACTTATATAAAGTTCAGGACCTCATTGACAATTAGTAAACTAAAAGTTCTTCCGCAGATACGTATCAAAATATAGCTGCCCTATCTTGAAATGTGTCCATCGTTTGGTATTATTATGACACGCTAACAATAGCTTTTATGTTTAGACTGGTTTTAAATTTTACGAAAAGGCTGCAACTATTCGCACCCGGGTACTAGAGGTGAGATTTAAAAATAACTATTTAAAATATTATTGTTGGGTTTGTAAGACGAAATGAGGTATCAAATGAAAGATAATTTAATGGACTATACGTTTGTAAACTTATTCTGTTCAACTAAAATAAACTACCACAAATGACATCCGAATAGCATTGATCTAAAGTCTAATGGGACAGGGGAGCGAATATGGCGCTCTATTAAATTCACTACTGAACCATGCTTTCAGTCAAACATAGAGACTTATATGTAATATAATTCATTTTATTAATTATTTTACAAACCAATGCTTCATGTAGCAAACGTCTCTTTATTAAATAAAGAGCTCCATTACTAAAACACAATTACTAATTACGCCATCACTGCTGCTCCTATTAAACCCTAACAATATTAACAACGCCATTTCCCATGCCCAGATATACGTCACAAAATACAAAGCATGTAGAAAAAGCTACGAAAATAATCTCAGTACCAAATACACTGATTAGGAAGCAGCCATCTAGTGTGGAAGCAGCCGGAAACGGAAGCAGTCTACCAGAAGCGTAATATCTATAAGATATAATTGTAGACAGGAGAAGTTCGGTGAAACCTGAGTTTCGGATAATCGGTGACCAGAGAATCGACATTCTACAGTTTTTTTACTTTGCATACAGCATCTCCCCCCACCACACACCATTTTCCCCTCCCCCGATGGCCTAGTAAATACAATGTAGTGAGAATAGCAAAAAGATTCTAATGTTCCACAGAAATGTCTTGGCGTGACCAATGTTGCACGTCTGCAGTTATTGAGTTCGACGGCTGGATGACGATCAATCGTTTCCACAATTTTTTTAAGGAAGGTAAAAAAAAACAAAAAAAAACCTCCTTTATTTGAATTGAATCAACAAATTAGATTTGAAAAGCACTGCTAGACTTCCGGTTCAGTCTCGAATTGGTCGATGGACAAATCCATGGTGTGTTAACTGTGAGCTAAGTTCACTTGGTCGTCATAATGAGACGACATCGATTACAGCAGAAAATGGGCAGCTGTTGACAGTGCAACGCGACACAGCATGGGCGGATCTGAAACATGTGGGACTTGGGACGTGTGGGTTTGGGGAGGGGGGAGGGTGAAAGGGAACTCCATGAAAAGAAACGAGCGTTAATTTTACTAAACTATATTTAATTTGTATGCAGAAAAAAAAAACAGTTCTGAAATATAAACAAAAAATTGTGAGCCTGTTCCCACAAGGATCACCACTGTTAACAAACTATATAAGGAGGTGGAGGCTGTTAACGAACTATATAAGGAGGTGGAGGCTGTTAACAAACTATATTAGGAGGTGGAGGCTGTTAACAAACTATATAAGGAGGTGGAGGCTGTTAACGAACTATATAAGGAGGTGGAGGCTGTTAACAAACTATATTAGGAGGTGGGAGAATCATCACTGTTAACAAACTATATAAGGAGGTGGGAGAATCATCACTGTTAACAAACTATATAAGGAGGTGGGAGAATCATCACTGTTAACAAGCTATATAAGGAGGTGGGAGAATCATCACTGTTAACAAACTATATAAGGAGGTGGGAGAATCATCACTGTTAACAAACTATATAAGGAGGTGGGAGAATCATCACTGTTAACAAACTATATAAGGAGGTGGGAGGATTGTCACTGTTAACAAACTATATAAGGAGGTAGAGGATTGTCACTGTTAACAAACTTTATAAGGAGGTGGGAGAATCATCACTGCTAACAAACTATATAAGGAGGTGGGAGGATTGTCACTGTTAACAAACTATATAAGGAGGTGGGAAGATCGTCACTGTTAACAAACTATATAAGGAGGTTGGAGGATTGTCACTGTTAACAAACTATATAAGGAGGTGGGAAGATCGTCACTGTTAACAAACTATATAAGGAGGTTGGAGGATTGTCACTGTTAACAAACTATATAAGGAGGTGGGATGATCATCACTATTAACAAGCTATATAAAGAGGTGGGAGAATCATCACTGTTAACAAAATATATAAGGAGATGGGAGGATTGTCACTGTTAACAAACTATATAAGGAGGTGGGAGGAAAGTCACTGTTAACAAACTTTATAAGGAGGTGGGAGGATTGTCACTGTTAACAAACTTTATAAGGAGGTGGGAGGATTGTCACTGTTAACAAACTATATAAGGAGGTGGGAGGATTGTCACTGTTAACAAACTATATCAGGCTGTGGACAGCGACATGCAATCAACAAGTAAACACAATTACTCTGATCATGCCGGTCTCTCAGCTGTTTGAATCCATTCTCGGCTGTCTCAGCCCCTTCAAATCATGCCGGTCTCTCAGCTGTTTGAATCCATTCTCAGCTGTCTCAGCCCCTTCAAATCATGCCGGTCTCTCAGCTGTTTGAATCCATTCTCTGCTGTCTCAGCCCCTTCAAATCATGCCGGTCTCTCAGCTGTTTGAATCCATTCTCGGCTGTCTCAGCCCCTTCAAATCATGCCGGTCTCTCAGCTGTTTGAATCCATTCTCGGCTGTCTCAGCCCCTTCAAACCCGAGAAACTAAATGTCTTATTAAATCAAGTGGTCGGCAAACCGCGGCTCGCGAGCCGCATGCGGCTTATAAACGACCTTAGTGCGGCTCGGCCATTTGGCTACAAATCCGTTTTGACTCCGAAAAATAAGGTTCTTGACAGGTTCTTGAAATGAAATTTGTCTCTCAATTTTTTTTTTAAATTGCCCTGCTGCTGATTTGCGGCTCTTTCGACTAATGAATTTCCCGTCCATTGTCTTAAATCATATTTTCACATGTCAGTATTGATTTAAAAATGTAAAATTAAATTCTATATATTTGTTTAGTTTGGATATTTCTTCATTATCGGACGTTGACATGAGGTTGATTGAGGCGGCCGCTAATCACACAAAAAAAAAGCAATTGCCCCTTATTCGAAACCCGGCCGTCTGCTCCCTTCACCGCTCTTTCCACTGCTCTCTCCGCCGTTCTTTCTACTGCTTATCCATCGGTCTCTCAACTGCTCTTTCCACTGCTCTTTCCACTGCTCTTTCCACGGCTCTTTCCACTGCTTTCTCCACTAACGACTCCACTGCTCCCTCTGCCGCCCTCTCCACTGCTTATCCACCGGTCTCTCCACTGCCTTTTCCACTCCACTGCTATATCTACTGCCCTATCACTTCTACCATTCCCACT